TATAAAATATAATATAACGTGTTACATTGATTACACATTTTAAATAGAATGAATTGGCCTGTGATTGTTGCATTATAAATGTAAATTCATTTTTAACCTTTAATGTAGAAATATCAGAATGAAAATATTTTAAACGGGGCTGAAAATTGTTGCCAAAGTGTGCTGGCGGGTATTTTCCTTCATCTTGTAAACACGGCATAGCCAGGCGGGTGGCAAACAGAACAGGGAGTGAAGGCAAATCGAGAGTTTACACACACCATTGTTGTATTTAATTATTGCTCGCTCTATCTTTCTATCTATCTGTAAAGGGTAATTCCAAAGCAATCCTAGTATTAAACAGTCCACCTGCGTCTTGAACCCATCAGAGCTGAATAGAATAGAAGGTAAGGATAAACAGGGGAGGTTGCATTTTCAGTTCCAATCTTAATAATCAGTCAGTTTACCCTCCTGTTCATTATTCCTCAGATTAGACTCAGTCCAAGGAAATTATAAACTCCACAGTCTAAATCACCGCGTGTAAAAACTGCAGATCGCATTTCTGGAACTTTGTCATTTCGTAAACCACACGAACATAGGCGCATTTTGTCACCTAAAAAANGCACTGGGAATGACTAAACATAGGCAGCTTTCAAACCGAGTCTCTGTGTGTGTCACCAAAATAATTAAAATGGAATGATCTTAAGAAGCGGTCTCTACTATATTGCGTCGTTATAATGTTTACTGACTCAGTTAGCAGTGATCTCGAAAGCTAAAAACATTGGGAAATTGATATTTTATCTTAATGTTTTCTTAAACTTCGGGGACATATGACATACATACGAAATAGTTTGTCACACTTTAAGGTGAAGCGCTTTGAAACGTGAAGCGCGTTATATCAAATGGAATTAGTATTATAAATAAATCTGCATAATAGTAAGAAGAAACAAGTAGCGAAGATAAATTAATAATAATAAATTGCATTTAGATAGGCCCTTCGCGCGGTTAGCAAACTATTGTATATGGAAAAACTTCCCTTTAAATGTTGAAAATCTACATTGCACAATCGTTCTAATTCCTTCATGTCTCAAGCGATGTCTCGGATATTAAGCAATCTAGGGCACTGATTAACCCATTTTGCGGATAAACAGACCAGCCGGACATCGGGTTACAGTGTGTGATTACTAGTGAATGACAGTCGCAAGCTTATTCCGCTTGGTTAATGGTTTGGACGTTTGAAGAAAAAATAAAGAAGAAATAATGAAATCAACTCGGTTTGCCAGACAAGCACATCTCAGCTGAGAAGTACAGTATATTTGGTAAAGATAAAATTGCGTTAGACGGGGACATCTGAAGGCGGATGGTACATGATAGGAATGACAATAAATAGCGATTATCCATTTTCCCCAGGGCTTACCTATATATGTCCACGTTATACAAATAAACGCTTATAACCTTATTTGATCGGACAGATTTGATGAAATCTCTGCTCAGTTAGGGAGCAAAACTGATGTACAGAGCTTGATTATATAATATATGGGGGTAAAAGTGGAGCTCTATGGAGACGCACGATTGCATCGGAATGCATGTTGTACTAATGTAGTAATGCGTTAAATTATGTGTTTCTACAGACTATTGCAATTGAGTTAAGGTGGAACCAATGTATTCGCTCTCACCGCATTGTAGGGTGTGCTTTGGAGTTGTTCTGTACAGTCACATTGCTGTAAACAAGAAAAACACACACAACGCAATGCCAGAGACTAAAAGAGCATGCAATAGCCTTCTGTCAACCATCCCCACCATCGATATGGGTGTGCGTTTAATCATTAAAGTGTCGTTCTAAGCGATTTTTCCCTTGTAATCTTTTTCCAGTTCGATTCCTCGACTCCTCGGAGTTACCTAATCCCCTAAACTTGTTGTCATTACTTATTTATTGATTGCTTTGCCATTTAAAAGTGTAACTGCGCAAGGCGGCTGTTGCCTGGGGGGAGCCTGGGTCGCTGGATGAACAATTAAATCAGATTAAGGGCAGCCTTTTAAATAGAGGTGTGATTGATAACCGCGAAACACATTCATAAATAGTCTGCAACACGAAAAAACGCTTTCAACACAAAGCTCAAAGGAGCGTTGCACCATCACCATCATACACACGCACACATACATAGGTCCACATGAGTTTGACTCTAAATACCTTCCGTCCTAAGTAATGTGTTTTATATTAAAAATCTACATGAGACAGACAGATACTGTTATTAATTAGTGCACCCAGTAAAACAGCATTATTGTATTGTCTGACCTATGTATTATTTTAGTTATTATATTATAATTATATTTTATTTTTTATCAAGATAAGTTTTGTGGATGCTGGATCCATTCAAATGTTCAAGACTGAGGTGGATACAGTTGCGTTAGTTAGGTAAGAGTAATAAAGGGATACGGAGCAAAGGAGGGTAATTGGAATTGAGGTATAGGTCAGCCACGATCTAATATAATCCAATTTACAGTATATTCTCTGAAGCGCTTTGAAACAGCTTAACGTCGTGATAAGGCAAGTGCAACTATTGTTATTATTATAATGATGGAACAGGCTCGAGGGGCTGAATGGCCTACTCCTATTCGTATGTTCCTATATGTCTGCCTCATCTCAGTAATTAAAAAAAACTCTTAATGGGTGAGTTGAATTGAAATTGTGCAAACAAAAAAACGGTAATGCTTTTTTCATGTTATTAATTACAGGGTGCGGGTAGTTCTTTTTTTAAAAAGGGGGAAAATCAATGTATAAAAAGCTCCTTTCAAAAAAATGTTATAGGAATCCAATAAAGCGTGTCTCTATAGAGCTCCACTTTTGCCCCCCAGTCACAGTCACAGTGGAGCCAGAGCAATTAGCTCTGAATAAAATAATTGCATTCCTTTTTTTTCTCTCTTGTTGCAAATTCCACACAGCTCGTTTGCAAACTTAACTTATTGCAAAATACATTTTCTCAGAAATCTTTGGAAAGGACTAGGTGTGACCTCAAAGGTGATTTTCGTCTCTGTGTTGACATTGTTTTGCAAAATATATTTCTTTATTGGTTTACCATCAAAACGGCCTTTGATCTTCAAATACGATTATCGCAGCAAGTTCTCTGCTGTTTTCTCACGCTTTGTTTGGCTGCCCCTTGATTTTTATTTAGCCTCCTTTAAAGGTCTATAAAAAGTCGATTTCGGTTTTAGACGCATTTGTACGATATTTTATATATAATTCATAACTTTTCAACGATTCTCAAACGCCATTCTCTGTAACTATGAACTATTTAATTCGTTTCTCTATATGTAACATGTAACAGTGATACACAAATATATCTTGTAAACTGTTACCAGAGATAACTTCTCTGTCTTGACTCTTTATTGCTCAAATCAACGTAACTATTATATATACTATATACACATATATATAGATATATATTCATAGACTTGACAGACTCTGTAAGTCTATTCCACTTTCATCAAGTCAATCCCAATATATATATTTAGAAATTCTAGTGTAAAAATGAGAGGCAAATAACATTAATTAATTTGAAGGGATATGAATGTAGCTGCATTGTCTCTCGACATCAAGTTTCATTGACTGTTTTGTTGCAGAATATAAATTACTCTTGGGATTTCCAATATATATAGAGAGAGAGAAAGAGAGAGAGAGAAGTCTTGCCCTGGGATTACAATAATAAAATAACCAGGTTCAGCAATTCAGCAAAATGCACCACTTTGTGGCCTTTTGAAATCTCGAGCCTTGCTGCTAAGCAGTTTAGTTTAGCAAACCTCCAACAGAGAATCACAGTGTCAACCCCAGGTGTGTTGGTGGGATACACTGACGTGGGCAATACATATTTTATTACAAATTAGTTTTTTTGGTGGTGGTGGAGGGGGGGGCTCTATTTATCATGCCAGCAGGACTGGCATTAACTCCTGAATTATATCATTCCTTCACATTTGTTAGGCAGACTTTATCGTAACATGTATTATTTATAACAAAGCTAAAACGAGTTTACAATGGTTTGAGATTGGTGAATAATATCACCTTATTTGTCGTTCTTTCACTCTCAAGTCATTTCCCGCACAAAATACAAATCCACATACTCTGTAAAATCAATTCCACTTTCGTCAAGTCAAATAATTAATTCCACTTTACAGTATATTCTGTGAAGTGCTTGAGACGTCTTAATAATTTGATGAGGCGCTATATCAAATGCAAGGCTTATTATTATCAGGTTGGAAAGATTCGTGTGAGGTAAATGATAGATCACTTACATTGTCCAATACTGAAATGACATTAACAGTGTGACTAGACGGTTAGCATTGTTTTGAATATCTGTAGTGTATCTGAAAGATATACTCCATCAATCTCTCCACAGCACTGCTGTGAATTAAAATGCTAATTGTTTTAACACAATTCCTGTAGGGGTTGAAGGCACAGAGAACTGCAATCGTTTATAGACTTGAAAACTAATGGTGCTCAAATGTGACAGCCAAACTATATTTGAAAAAAGCTAAACTTAATTTTGAAGTGGGGAAGTTAATCTAAAAGATTTTTGGTGAGTTAAGAACAAGTCATACAAGATTTGAACAAGTCCGTTATAATTTAATACCCTTCTATATTTAAAAAGCAACCTCGCTAATTTTACAAGTTATTTTGGTTGCATTTCAAGGCCTAAGGACTTGTCATTTGTCACAGAATGTTGCATATGTTTGTTAAAGAGGCAAGCTTTCATTTCAGGACAAACGGGTGACTTACAACAAAAGTTAAATGAATCCGCCTCCCAGTTAGCAAAAGAAACAGCGACCAAATGTTCATTTACTGTACCGTATTCTCAACTTTTTAACATCTCCACGTTTTTTAAATTTCGAATTTACTTGAAATCTACAAGAAACATAAGAATGGAAGGGAGGAGGGGAGAAAAAGTAGATGAAACAGAATAACGTAATACTCAAGAATTATTAATTTATTCACAAATATAAGGTATATAAGAAATAATAAATCTCCAAATATATATATATATATAATAGTACATAACGTTCCCTTTCAAAGGGATAGCGATCAAGAATGTTAAAAGAATGTTCTGGCGTCGTTTCAGATATATTTTTGAAAGTTTGGGGAGTCTTTCAATCAGATGTTTTGTTTCTCAAGATAAATGGTACATGCTGTATCCAATAGGAGTAGCATAGAGTCCTACGGGGGGAACGGGGAGCATTGGTCTATGAAAAGGATAGGAATGGCCATAAAGTGAAGCCCCGTGAACTGGAGAATTCATGGGGAAAGTTAGACTGAGTCCCGGGGGCAGCATGGGCTTAGCTGCCATTTTGAACTTCTCCAATTCGGCCTCTTGAAGTCTCTTGGCTTTGGCCCTGCGGTTCTGGAACCAGATCTTAACCTGTGTTTCCGTCAGGTTGAGGGAGCTGGAGAACTCTGCTCTCTCGGCGATCGAGAGGTATTGCTTCTGTCGGAACTTGCGCTCCAGAGCCAGCAGCTGAGAGGTGGTAAAAGGCGTTCTTGGTTTCCTGTTGGTTTTGTGCTTTCTCAATGTGCAGGACGTGGGGCTGGTATGTCCTAATAAAATACCAAATGAATATACTTTCCATTAATTTTATTATGACTGCATTAACTGACAGCATGCACACTTTGATTAAAATAAACACCCAACACTTACACATGTATCAATTAGCATCGATTACTCCCATACAATTACAGTACTATCAACAAACACATTTATGACGGACAGTAAAAAAAATAAATATTTCAAACCACCAATTACTGTGGTAAATTCCTTTTTATATAAAAAAATTTGCCCTGCACATTTTTGTTGCGATTATTAAACTGCTGCAAATGTATACAATATTTTAAGTCAAAAAAGTTTTCGTTTGATCAAACCAAGTGACAGCCCCTTGTAAGTTCACCTCCCTTTTCAAGTTGATTTTAATGTTCTATCGACAGTCAAACAGCTAATGAGCTGATGAGCAAGTCAGCGCGTTCAGCATGTAACACAGTACTTTTGCTCACGTTATGACAGAGCTCCAATAATAATAATAAATGATAATGACATAATAATAATAATAGTAATTGTAGTGCTAACTGAATTCGCTTAGAGATCATGGACAATTTAAAATCAACTCTCAGTACCTTTTAGATTGAAATAAAGTTGGTGACAAAGATCAATGGAACATTATAACTGGATTTCATGTAAACACAGACCAAACTCGACGAGACAGAAATCTGACACAAACGTTTTAACTCACTATTTGCAGGCGTTGAGTAAGTTGAATTTGTGACCCAGGGCGCGCAGTCTTCTTCGTTACAGCTTTCAGATTTCACGGGGGAACTTTCGTAAGTTTTTATAAAACCCTCAATCGAGCAACAGGAGTCAACGGGGCTGTGAGTCTCTCTGGCCGCCGAGTTAGAGTGCAGTTCCTGTGAGGAAGCGCCGCCGCCCGCCCCGTCCAACGGAGAGGGGGGTGACCCGCCTCTGTGAGGCTTCCTATCGGACATGAGCGCCTCAACGCTGAAGGGAAGGCTCGATACTTGGACTCTGTGATCCTTGGAACCAGTTTGGCCAAACCTCTGGACCTCTCGCTCAGAGACGCCGGAATCCTTCCCTGTCAAACCGCGAGGAGAAGCCATCACAACGGGGCGAGTAAAACAAATAGACTAATACTACAACTTCTTGAACCAAATCCTTTAAGCAAAACGGAGAGCCGAGAAGTGAGGAGCGGAGGGGAGAGCGGAGCGGAGGGCAGAGCGGAGGGGAGAGCGGAGGGGAGAGCGGAGGGGAGCGGAGGGCAGAGCGGAGGGGAGAGCGGAGGGGAGAGCGGAGGGGAGGGGAGAGCGGAGGGGAGGGCAGAGCGGAGGGGAGAGCGGAGGGAGGGAGAGCGGAGGGGAGGGCAGAGCGGAGGGAGAGCGGAGCGGAGGGCAGAGCGGAGGGGAGAGCGGAGGGAGGGAGAGCGGAGGGCAGAGCGGAGGGGAGAGCGGAGGGAGGGCAGAGCGGAGGGGAGAGCGGAGGGGAGAGCGGAGGGGAGGGCAGAGCGGAGGGGAGAGCGGAGGGGAGGGCAGAGCGGAGGGGAGAGCGGAGGGGAGCGGAGGGCAGAGCGGAGGGGGAGCGGAGGGGAGGGCAGAGCGGAGGGGGGAGCGGAGGGGAGAGCGGAGCGGAGGGCAGAGCGGAGGGCAGAGCGGAGAGCGGAGGGGAGAGCGGAGCGGAGGGGAGAGCGGAGGGGAGAGCGGAGCTGCTCTCAGGGCAGTCGCCAAACCTCAGCAGAGGCCAAACTTTTGACCAATGAGCGGCGGTGGGCGGGGCCGCCGCGGGGCGGGGCCTGTGATTGGCGGCGGAAGGAGCGGTGATGGTCGCTCTCACTGAGTGGGTTTGACCCGCGGGGCCGCCGCCGGGACGGGACGGGATGGGGTGAGCGATAGCCGCGGAGCCCTCACCCCCTCGAAAACATCCACGCAATGAAGTGAAAAGGAAGTCGATCATCAATATTTGCCCCTAACCCCCCCCACCCCCCAAAAGAGTAAGAGCAAAAAGAATTGCGCAAAATGAGACAATTCGCTGTGTCTTCGCTTTGTTGCGAACACCCCCGCGGCACCTGCTGGGTAACCGCGCGGATAAACAGTCTGTCACCATTAGTCAGACAAGTTAAGAGGCAGACAAGTGGGGTTGTTCATAGGCGCCAGGATCGGCCTGATCAAAGCCCCCCCCCGCCCCCGGGGGATCGCGGGGCAGAGTTAGGCTACAGGAGCCGCCCCCCCCCCCCCCCCCCCCCCGCCGAGACACTCCCCAACCCCCGGGGGCAGAGCTGATCCAAAGGACCTACAGCCACAGCCACAAAACCAAGATGGGAAAAAGAGAGCAACAAAAACCGCTTGTAATGTAAAAACAGCTCCTGCAGCGGGGCGTCAGCTGCACATCCTGAATTATTATTATTTTGGGGGTGGAAAAGGGAAATAAATGCATGTTATCAACAAGGCACGTCAGCAAATACATTCCACTACAGAATCAGCCAACATAGGAATTTCAACAGTAACGTAGTCGTTAATAATTAAATGTGCGTTTAACGGGAGAGGAAACTGGCAAAATATCTCCCACTCTAATTCTGCACCACCCACACAAGGAAGTACTGTACTTTGAACAAAATTATTTTAGCTGGAAAGCAAAAATCAAACCACCACTTTGGGTTTGCTGTATTTAAAGAAAAACATGTTTTGATTTCATTAAATCGACTTCTTTTTTAAATAGTTGCGAGGTGACAGAATTATACAGAATTATTGATGTATATTATTTAGTCAGATTGTTTGTCCACGCAGTTATCGAGGCAACGCAGACCTGAGAGGGGCTGATTTGGATACAAGTATATGTATAACTATACAGGTGATATGTGCTGTTTGGATCTGACGTGATGTGAGTGAAGCGAAGACTCGAGAACCTGAGTGCACTATTATGTAGTCTGGACGACCCGATAAGACGCTATATCAAAGGAAAGGATTTTTTTAATATAAAAAAAGTGGAGTAACGGTACGTCAAAAACGTCAGAAACTATAACTAAAGCCGCTGTGACTTGTGAAATGCTGTGTTGAAAGTGAACAGCTACTTGCAGATCAGAGAGAAACACAGCAGCACAAACGCAATAGAGAAAATGTGACATAAATATATCACCAAATCTCTGCTTCTCGACCTGACCGAGTCTGTCTCCATTTGCTTTCAGACGGTGTTGTGAACTCGTCGCCCGTTTAATGTAATTGTATTAATGCTGATGTACTGGTCAGTGTCAGTGGCTGTGCACTTTTGACAGTGAACAATCTTGACCATGAGCACTCAGTTTTGTGGCCCGACACCCACAATTATGGGGAACACACAAAATGCACCAAGTCTCGACTGTTTCAACAGAGTGTAGCACAGACCAAACTCTTAAGAAGGGTGTTATTCATTGCCTTTCTCGGCTTGACAAATCTTGAGAGAGAGAGAGAGAGGCAGTTGTGAAATAAAACACATTACGACAGACTGGGTATTTTATTAGAAACTCATTACAGTATTTGTTCCCTCACAACTGTCATCCCAGGCAATAAAATGTGCTCAAGCGGATCTACGCACATTGTTAATGAGTTCATTAGTAACTGCAGACATGTTTCACGATCGTTAGAATAGCTTTGTAGTTGTATTTAAAAAAGTGGAGCTGTTATTTTAATAATCCCTCGCTTGAAAATATTGTCCCAATAATCCATAGCATATATCATTATTCCCGATATCAGGAGTTTTACTTTTTCATTACGCAATGTTTTATATATATATATGCATAGAATATATATCTTCACTAAAACCTTTTTTGAAAACCAGACACTTTAACAATTCATTTTGCTTCATCTGGTTTTCTCTTCTACAAATTGAAAATGAAGCGATTGAAGGTATCAACATGTAACTAATATATATATAATTTACTGAATTATCAATTTCAAATGGTTAAGACAGTTACTTCGGAAATATGTCTGTTAAGTAAACGTTGTGTAATATGCAAATATAGCTCTCATTTATATATAATTATATATAAGATGTAGCAATAAGATTGCTGCATTTTGATAATTTCATTTTAGTTATTAATAAGCTATATCCCCGACATGCTTGATATGCGCGACACCCACAATGCAGATATTATATATATATAATTTTTCTAAATGATAACAAGTTTAGAGTTTTGTGTTTCGTAGTTTGTGTGTACAATACGTAATTGTTTAAATTGACAAAAAAAGTTAGTTAACACATGGTACGTCGTGAGTTTTGGATTAGATGTTAGAGAATTAGATGTTATGTTTGGCGAAGTTTGTTTTAATGAGATGGAAAATAATCTGCCTTCGGTAATGAGGGCGATCTAATTCGTGCAGTGCAGTCCAAATAGTTACAATATCATTGTATTACTTGATGTAAAAAGGAATTTTTTTCTCTCTTCTCTTTTCGTTTTTTTGAAGCTGACATTTATTCCCAACCAACAAAGGCAACACTTGTTTATGGTAAACTACATCCTCACGGCCACAGTTGAGATCCAGAAAGTGTTTAAATGAATCATTCTTGCACATTGTTGTTTGGGTAAATTGTTGCTGCCAGAGTATGCATTCCGCCTGATTGTAATGACTCCATATCAGTTTCATTTTTACTGAATTATCAATTTAAAATGGTCAATACAGTTACTTCGGAATAAAGTAAACGTTACAACGATAAACAATAAGTAATTTTAAAAAGCAAAAAAAACTAAATACAGAAAATTGTCTGTTGTAAATCTGATATGCAGACACACCAATGAATTGAGTGAAAGTTTTTATTCTTTCTTGATGAATAGAAAAACGCCCTGTAATTGCACAGGTCTGTACTTAATAATACTAGTAATAATAAATCATACTATTGTATTATGAATTTTATGTTATAAATAATAAAACGTATGATAGGTCTGTACTTAATAATAATATATTATAGTTTAAATTATAAATAATACAGTTTATGATAGGTCTGTACTTAAATGAGCTTTTGTTGCTGGATGTGCAATTGCAAATTATTATATTAGTTTCAAGATATTCAATGAAGTAGTTAAAGGCTTCAAAATACATAGAATTGTCTAAAACAAAACCTTTTTTGTTTTGTTTTCTAATTTTTTCCATTTTTGAATTTTTATGTCAGAAAATTAATCAGGGTTAAAGGTAATTTCAGTGAAATCTATACAGATTCCTTTACCTTAAGTGGCGGAAACATGAACAAACAGGTAACCCTGCTAGTTTCTGCTTAATCAAAGCCTTTGGTAAAATGGTATGGAAATTAAAAGTATTCATTTCCCCACGTGTGTGGACGGTAAATGTGCGATTAATTGAAGCATCGTTACTTTATGCAATAATAGTCCATCTACTTATAGCCCCCCCACCCCATTCCCCTTAAATGTTTGTGAAACATCGATAAAATTAAAATTTATTATCTCGAGAAAATAATGAAAACCCAATGAAAGCATTATGGGTTGCAATTTGGTTGCTGTGTGTTTTGCAATTTGGAAAATAATTTGTTTCTTTCCTGTTGTTGAAATATTACAATTAGTATTTCTCCAATTCAAAGTGTCACTTTCACTCACACACATACTCACTCACACACACGTTTAATCCTCTGGAATGTCGAAATTGCAACCAGAACATGTTGAAATTAATACAATGATCATATTTAATATATTGTGTCATGTGCTCCTTGAATCTGGATTGCAACACAGTGACTGAAATGGTTCCTTCACCAATAACTAGTCTCACTATACAATATTCTGTTTTCACAGATGCAGGCTAGATTTGTGTAATAAGCCTTTAGCATCATCTTTAGCTACTGTACAAGGATATAATAATAATGATAATCCTCACATTTGATATCGTGCCTTTTCACATCTTTGAGACGTCTCAAAGCGCTTCACAGAATACACTGAAAAGTGAATTGACTGTATTTTGTGTGGGTGAAATGCAGCAGCCAATTGTGCACAGCAGTGTCCCACAAACATTGAGTGACCACCTTTATTTTAAAAAAATCTTTTTTTTAGGGATTATTACCCCCGGAAAGTGATCTGCCAATTGACTAACAACCAGGTTCCTACTTACTGTGCTGGGTAAAACAGAGGCGTGTGCGGAGTAAGGAAGCTAGTCCAACGTTTAGTCTTGACTGGAATGTTATGGTAACAGTCTCAACACAGTTGAGGCGATTTATTTTAATGTACAAATAGCGGTTGATCCTTCCT